GCTGAAATCACTCCCTCCTTGAGTGTTTGTAACGTTTTGTACTGTAATTTCTTCCCTTTCATTTTATCCAAGCACCTTGAGCTCTACAAAGAGACATGTGGCTAAAAGTGTTTGCACGGTTTAGATTAAATGGTAGGTACCCAACACATCAACTAGTCTTTATTGCTTGCACGCTGGCACACCCAGGCCCTGGATAAATTTTGGTCTGGCCAAGGTACCCAACCTTCCATGGTACCTCATGCCTACAGTAAGGTCAGGGACCAAAATGAAAATAAAATGGCCCCAATGTGGCTAAATAAAATTCCTAGCCAGGTACCCTACCCCTCCCCATTTCAGCCAGGCTAACTGACCGGGGATGTTAAATGCTTAATTTGTGTTCCGGGTTCTGGACACACACTCTCGCTGCCATACCAACTCGTGGCCCCTTGGTGGATCGCAGCACCTCCAAAACACGCAGTGTTGGATTAGATGACTATGGCTGAAAACTAGAGAATGCCACCATATGCCATCCACCCCCCCTGGGCAACGGCCAAGTACATGCAAAAGTGTCGACGAGCATCTGCTGGTTTCTGGGTCTGAGCCAACGTCCAAATTTCTGCCGGCACCGGACTGATTGACGGACTTATTTCTGGCCTCCAAAAAAAACAGCCAGCTTCGTCTCCAAACAAAAAAGACAAAGAAGAGCTTCCGGGCAGCCCTCCGGAGCAGTGAATTGGTTGGCTGGTCACCAAATCACCCCGCACCTCGTGACCCTGCTCGGTGCGGAAGCTCCAGCTCCCTTCCCTCCACCGCTCACTCTCTCCGCTCCTGCTCCCTTCCGAGCGCTCTTGGAGGTCCTTCCGAGCGCCGGAGTCGGGTCGCCCCGGGACCGGAAGTCTCAGCGACCCTGGAAGCCTCCGAAATGTGGACATGGACATGGCATGGCATGATCAAGCATGGACATGGCATGGCATGAGAACTGCATGATCTCTTGACTCGGCTTATTCAGAATGATGTGGCTTCGATCCGAGAAAGAGACAATCATGTCACGTTGCGTAAGAAAGAAGAACGACCATCCTACCAGCTATCACAATGCTGCCTGGGTTTACATGCATGATGCATGCTTCATGATCATGCATGTTTAGCTCCCCAAAACGCATGAGAACAAACTCCGAAAAGAAACATCAATGGCTTGGCAAAAGTTTACATACTTCCCTTCCTGTCATATTTCAATATATTTCAATATGTTTTCCACCCCGAAATGGAGAAATCGAAATGACTAATACCCGGTCCCCCGGTCCCCGTCCCCTAGGACCCGTTGCTTCCTCGAGGGCCGCACGTCGTTGCTGGAGCCCTGAAAGCTCCTCCGCGCGGCATGTCACAACGATTGTGCCATTGGGGAAGGAGTGTTAAATGATGACCAATTTTTGAAATCCATTTGGATTTACATCAAGTTCTTCAACGATGACATATGATGATCATCCGAAAAAGGGCCGAAAAAGAGCCCGCCGCGGGGGCGTTTACTAAGAGGAGTGTTTCAAGTAGTACAATATAAGATATGCCGCCTCTGTTACATCAATTGTCTGGATAGATATTTGCTAACTGCAGTGTTGGAGGTCCAAAATGTTTGTTGCCAGTGCATCTCAAGAATGGCATCCATAAAGCAAGTGCAAGTGCCTTGCAGCGATTCTCAGTGTCTCTTTATTTTGCTTTTACCACTTCTATCTTCGTCTCAACCAGGATTGCCGACTCTGAACCAACGCCACTGACCGTGTCTCCGACCGTCCGGTGAACACCGAACGACACCAAACGGCTGCGACAGGCCGAACGGCATCGGCCGCGACGAAACGATCGAAACGGAATGAAACGGAGGCGTTTGGAGTCTCCAAGTGCCGCGGATGTGCTGGGCACGATCCAAGGCCCTCCAAGAACAGGGATCTGCGCCAGCGCAGTCCTTTTTGCAACGAAGCAATCTATAGAACAGGCTGATGAGGAGCACGAAATCCAGAAAGCAATCTTAAATTGCTGTTGGACTGCTTTTGGGGTGGTGGGACAAGCCAACAGGACACATCCAAAAGCGGGTATCAGTCAGTGGCTCTTCATCACGTTTCTTGTTCATCGTGGCAAAAATGTGGCCCAGCCGGGCCACCCGGGATGCTTTGCGGAACGGATGAAAAAAGTGATCCCAAAGACGTACTCTCCCTGGAATTCACATAGTTACGTGGAGTGCACCACCTGTTTGTAGTGGAAAACCACCTGGTCTTCCTGTCAGGGTCATGCCATCCACGTAACCATGTTAGTTCCAGGGAGTGGACTGTATCGAAAAGAATGGACGTCCTGCTGCAAAAGGATGGTACTTCGTTGTAGCTCGTCGCATTGACTCTGCAGGGCTGGGCCCTCCTGCGATGCATTGGAAGGCCACACCAAGCAGAATCTGATTTCAGAAGCCAAAGAGGTTCTCAAAGAGGACCTCTATGGGTTGGACACCTACAAAATGCATCAACAAAGACATCAAACATTGTTAACATGCATCAACATCCTACTTCCTCCAAGCAAACCACGTTTCAAACCCAACGCGCCCAACGACATTGGCTTTGGAGTGTCGCAAATCACATCCAAAGCTATAGAGTTGGAGTGGTGATAATTAAGGGTCTGTGACTGCACCTGCCAACCAATACGAACAAACATGCACTGGCCAAACACCAGAAGCCCTGAGATGCACGAATATTCATAACTGGCTTGCAAAGGATCGTGGTCTTAGAGTAAACATGTTTTTCATGAAGTTCATCTTGGTTTTAAGGAGGCTGACGTGGTTTCTGAGCCCTGTCGAATCAGGATCCTGCATACCTGGATGACCTCGGACAGAGGCGGCTTCATTCAAAAATAGAACATCCCAAATCCAGCATTGGAGGATACTGCATATTGAGCAAAGCTACGCCGCTCCATGGCAATGAGATTGGTGTCTTGAAGAAACTGTTCACGCCGCTCCAAGTCCAAAGCCTCCCCCGTTCTCCGGCCACGCGAAGCGCTTTTGCTTCACCTTCAGGTCCTTCTGCATGTGCTGCACTGTCCGCTGCAGCTCTTGCAAGGAGCTCGCCCGAGCACCTGGGGACGAAGAGAAGAGAATCTGCGTGGGGTGGAGACGCAAACAACCACCACAGCAGAACCTTTTTTGCATAAGACTCAGACCGGAGATATCTGGAAAGTCATGCAGTTCCTGCTTGAAAAGCACCTGCGAATCTTGTAACTGGAGTGGCATTTCTAGACCCCTCCAGATCTCAACCCGTTTGGAAGATCTCTTGTTTCTTTGATTTCGAGAACGCACAGCCTTAAGACCACGGTCCCTACCCCTTCTTTCGGCCCAAAGACGCCCCTGCAGCTCCAACTGATTGCCCTTCTCCTGCAACTGCTCCAGCTCTTCTCCATCCTGGCCCACAAGTGCCATCAAACCAAAGGAATCCCAACTCCCAAAGATAACTTGCGGACTGTCTGTCGCGCCCCAAGCCCTTCCAACAGGAAGGATTACATGTACCGGAAGGAATTGACCGCAAAACCATGTATACAAAATGACGAAAGGAATCCCAAGCCCCCAAAAGTATGCCTCATCCACATGTCTAGACGCTCTCATCCGAACCACAACACCTCGGTCCGCGGCTGTTCCCGGATCAGGTCCCAGGGGGCGGGTTCGGTGGGGGGTCGGCGTGGACCCGGACCGGGACCCGAAGAAATGCATGGGACTGGAGTATTGACTGACCCTTGAGACATCTGAACAAACATCTGAACAAGCCTAGCCTTGAGAGGGGTGCCTTTGCCCCTCCCGGGCACTGAACAGAGAACACAGGTGCAGAATGGTGCAGAACTTCCGTCCGTCCAGCTCTCTTTGGTTGTCTCAGTTCCGAAAACTAAATCCAATGGACTTTCCATCTCCGGTCTCGTCCGTGCCTTTTGGAGCTGCTGACAGGTCTCCCGCCAACGCCGCTGGCCGTTGGCGATCAGCTGTGGCAGCTCCTCGACGGCGCGAGCGTGAGCATTCCCATTCGCAGCAGCCACCTGGCGCGCGAAAGGAGGTCGCTACGGCAGGAGTGCCTGGCCTCTATAGAGATCAATTAGTATAAATACTTTGGTCTACGCCTTGTATATAGTAAATCTCAAACGGTCTGCGCCTTCATATCTTAAGCACATGCCCCACATTGGCACCCATTTGTTCATCGTCGAATCGTTTGGGGATCCCTCCAGTGACCATCCCACCCTCGACCCTCGACTGGCACGCCTGGGCTAGAAAGCTTCGGAACCACTCTTCTTGCCTTGGCGGACAGAGGAGCAGCCGGAGTGAGTGGGACCGATGCCACTTCGATGCCTAGTGACTTCGTGCTGTATTATAAGTCTCAAATCATTGGCGGTGGGTATGTTTGAAGATATATATGTTGCAAGTGACATCGTGAATCGTGAATGAACATATTCTGCTGACACGACCAATTGTTTGAACATATTTCTGGAGATTTCTGAGAGATTCAATGATTCCCCTTTTTTCAGAATCTGACTGTATACTCATTGACAGTTTCTCCACCAAAATTTAAACATGGATGGCACTCAAACAGTATACATATAAGATTGCTGCTTCAACACACTAACTCCACAGGGCCGCAAGGTAATCGCAACTTGCTTCCATTCTTGACGCATCTCCCCCACAATGTCCGCCTCTGCATCCACCCTGCCCCTACAAGTTGCTGTTGCTTTTCTCTCAAGTCCGCCTTGAGGGAAGCCTCTTCCGACGCCAAGACTTGACTTGCCATCGCCACCCGATGACACCCCAGATGACCAGGCCCCGTGGGTTCAGTCACCCCTCAAACACGTAGAGCTCGACCGGCCGTGACATCGGACCCCGGCCCAGCCGAGTGCTGGTTTCTCTAGAGACCCATCTGCACGTCGGCCGAAGCGGACATGGTTTCTCTTGGCCTAGAAAGGGACACGGTTGTTTCCTATCCGAAGCGTAGCCGGATGCCATTGGGTCTTGTTTGGCGGTCTTGTCTCATTTCTTTGATCGGGTTCGACGGGGCAAAGTGTTTCCAAGAAGTTCGTGTAAACCGAGACGATGGAAACAAACAAAGGAAATAGAACAGCTGCCAGTTCCGCCAGTTCTGTGCTTGTGAAACGTGAGCCGCTTTGAACAGTTTTCTGCCTTCATCATGCTGCAAGAGGAATCCGATACAAGTGGATCACAAACACATATAGTGCCAATTAGTTTGGAGCCGTCAGGTTGATGCCCAGCCCGACTCCGCCTCGATCTGCTTTTGCTCCACGAATTGCTCGTTGACTGGCCGCCCCTTGTCGTGCTGCAGCAAGTCAAAGCAGCTGTCACAAACGCGCTCCTCCTCGCAGACCGAAACACGCGCGCCCTTCGAACTGGTGTGGAAGGTTGAGGATGGTCAAACGTGAATGGGTGGGAGGACTGGTCTTCTTTCTGCGGAGAGATGCTTTCAAGCAGAACTTCAGCGCTAGTACTCTGGGATATGCAGGGTGATCCTCACCAGGAAAAATTATACAACATGCACAATAGAATCTTTTCCTTGGGACGTATCCCTGCAAAAAAAAAACAAAAGGATCCTGGATTTTATCTTCCGTATTCCTGTGACCATGGCATTTTCTGACGTTTTGGGATCTATATACCCGGCCAGAATCTGGGAGCCAGTAGAATGGCATACTCCAGGAGGAAAATCCAAGTGGTCAGCAATGGACTACTCTACACTCTAGTTATATATATATATATACATACAGTAGCTTAAACCTGGGCAAGACCTGATTAAAAAATGACTCTGCACTCCTTGCCATAGCTGGAGAGGAAGAGCTTGCTGCCACTACAGCTGCCACACACCACACGGCCACAAGCCCGGCCTGGGCTCGAATTGGTTGGTGGGTTCAAGCAGGAATTGGAGAATCGGGTAGAACCTAGTGACCACGCTAGGTCTCCAACTACCTGCTGAGGTGCTCGGGGAAGGTTTGGCAGGTCCAACTAACTTCTAGGCGACACCCATTGTCTTTTTGTTGTGGACCTTGATGAACCCATTAAATTCTGGAAAATTTGTTCATCAACGTATCAATCCCCCATTCATGCACCGATCGCACCTTTCTTGCGAGATCGACCGCCGTTCCAAGCAGCTGAGACAGAAAAGCCGTCGGGCACGTCCCAGGTGATGTAAAGACTCCCTTGATTTCAATCCTATCAGACTCATCAGCACCGCGCGATGTCTGAAGTCCATTTTTTGGGTGAGTGCAAATGGGCTCCTGCCTAGACAGTATCCATGCTAAATGGCTCCCCAAAACGCAGCACCATGACCACAGAAACGCTCCGTCTGGCTGTCTGGCGGGGTTTCGCTTCACCTTCTTCAGCCCGTCCAAGCCAAGTCTCAGTGATGCTTCCTCTTGGCTCGGGAAAACCTCGGCAAAACGAAGACGTGTGTCTCCCCTCACTGGCCATGGTTGTCCAACATCCTCAATCACATGGGGTGCGGCACAGGTTCCGAAATCAAACCAAGCATGGTTCGAGTGCTTCCCGCAAGATGGATGCAGCGTATATGTTATGTTCGTTGACCGGAGGTGACCATCCAGCGAGCATCAAAAACAGCGCAGCCGTCGACCTACAGTAACGTCCCATCGAGAGGGTCCAGCCACCAGTCATGGACTTGTCATGGCATTAAGCGTCATGAAAGAAAGCATTTGGAACGAGAAAATCCATCCGCCCTCAGCCGTCCCAGCAAGGAAGACCCAAACATTTTCGACTCCAGGCGACTCTCGATGGCGCAGACCCTTCGGAACCACAGGAAAGAGCCACAAGGTGGTTAAACATTTGTGTACAACTGTGGTATATATATATAATTGTAGCCAACCACAACATGCTAGACCCTCTGAATCATTGGCTTCCAATACCTTCTTGGATGACTTGTGGCGCACCTGGCTCTGCTGGTCTTTTTCAACGTCACAGTCGTGGTGACCTGTTCGGGGCCTGGTAGCTCGTTCGGGAAGCCTGGTATGCCTATGCCCGAGGCGGTCATCGTATTCCGCCGCCGCCCCGGTGCCGTGGCTTTTCTGGAGATTCGCGGTCCACCCTCCCAGATCGGCCGGACCGCTGACGGGTGTAACACACGTCCCAGAGTTGAACATCCGGGGCAGGCTTCCCCGTTTGGCTTCCCATCGGGGGCAGGGCACTGAGTGACTGTTCAGATGCCAGGACACTGTTGAGTGCACAAAGGACACTCACTGACCTCCTCGTCTGGCACCCACGCCGCTCGCTGTGCCATAGCGAAGGCAGCAAACCCTTTTAGTTCTTGGAGCCGTTTGGGCTGAAAACAAGTAGTAGTCAGAAGTCTGCAACGGCATGGCGTACTCATACTCCAGATTGTTTCTCGATGATGAACACACACCTTTCTGTGAAAACAAATCACACACAATTAATGTTATTGGTCCAAATCTACCAATTACCAAGACCATCTTTATTTCGTTGGTAACCTGTCAGGGGGGTGTGTAGGAATCTGGGCAGTTCATTGTTTCATCGATGCTTTGGGAAACCTTGCCTGGGGGTTCTGGACCCCCATACTGTGTTGATGTGTTGTTATTTCATGTGAAGCAATCCGTGTTTGACAGGCTGCCCCACATCTGAGGTCCTCTACTTTGGGTTGGCCGGGTTGGCTTTCCTGAGATCGTAGAAAGTTATCATAGAAAGTGATCATCCATCCTTTATCTGCTGATCACACACACAAACACAGCATTGCTTCAGTGTTCGGGTTCGCCCTACAGGTCAAACGGTCACCACTGTCGACCTCGTTGGGTGTCATGGATCGCTCCCCAACACGCTCGTGTCGCCAACAATCGATCCAACCAACGGCCGGCCGGGGCAAAAACTGGGAGAACCTGATGCTTTGCACCACCTGAAAATTGTGAATCCCCTTTGCAAATGTGTAGACAGTGTAGACACCATTTCATCTATTTTGGGTACCTTAATCATTTGACTCATTTGACTCTAGCTGCTAGCTCTTCCCACTGGATCGATTTCACACTGGGATCTTCACCGCCAAGGTTCAAGGATTTGTTCACCACCTTCAATGATGGGAAATGGCTGAAATCCTCTGAAATCTCCAAACCGTCTAAACCAGTCCCCTTTGGCACACAAGTGAAGCCACAGATTGGGCAAACTAGCATGTTTCAGGCCGGGAAAGGAGCGTATTGATCGCAACAGACACCTCGAATCATGTCAAATGGATGGATATATACTGTAACTGGATAACACACCTTGCAAAATGGAGACCCAGTTTGTTGAGGCATCTGCTCACCACTCACCAACGTTCTCCTTTTCACCACATTGAACATATGGAAACCTCAGTGAGCTCGAAAACCTGTAAAACTCATCACACACACAAAGGCACAAAACCCGTAAACAATGAAAACCAACCCTTCACCCTCATTCTCATGTCCATAGAAAGAAACACAACATGAACCTACACCCTCCCTGCTTTTCACTTAAACAACCACCACAAAAAAACAAGCACCAGTCCATTGGACCCTCTGGGTGGGATCCCGGCTTGTCCATGCCGATGCGGGGCTCTTGCACGGTGCCTGCGAGAACGAGCGCAACAACTATTCTCCCAACATCCACTTTGGAAGCCCCGGTATGGGAGGAAAAAGGGAGTAGTTTGGTGAAGAAACGGGTGAGTTTTTTGCATACGATGGGGCTGAGATGATGAGTCTCAGTAGATGCATATTTTATCATATTTTACAGAGTGATGTTGGAAAGTGACTCACAAATACCACTTGCCTCGCCTTTTATTCTCTCTCGCTTGGGCCGTTGCTCTTCAGTGGTGCTTCTGTCTGAGCCTTTATTTTGGGGGGCATCCGAGCATCCTCTTTCATAAACAAACTAAATAAAGAACGCAACCAGAGGATACCAGAGGCAATTTACCTTGTTAGGGGAAGAATTGTGCTTTTAGAAGGTGGAAGAGATCAGTCATGATGAAGTGGGAGGCTGTGGCAAGCATCCTCAAGCCCTCAGCGTTGGGAAGAAACTCCAAAGCCCTAAAGAACCCCGCCGGACACGTTCCTGAATCAGAACTCTTCGCTCCCATTTGGAAGCCCGCTACCCCGGTTAGAGCTGGATTCTTAAAGGTCTTAAAGTGGTAAAGTTACCGGTAAAGTTGCATTCTGAATCTACAGGATCTACCCCGCAATCCAGGGCAACAGAAGGGGTGAGTCTGCTGACGGGCGATGTCATTTTTCACCAGCAGCACAAGGGATGTGTCCCGGATACACTCCTTGAAACAGTCATGGGTTGACCATTTTCCTGCACTAAACGGTGTTTTTTTTCCACATCCATTTAGCGACTCGCGTCGTACCTCCTACGGAACGAACTTGAAATGAAGAACTCCATGGTCCATTGGTCCATTCTGCCTCTTCAAAGACTCTTGAGGCCACACGGGAAGTGGTCCCTGAAAGCGACCACCAAGTGTGGGCCACCTGGCACTTGGGGACGTATGGGTGGACGAACAGTGACACTTATCAAGTGAGCGACCCTCAACAGGTCTTATTTCATACAACGACCCACCGAAACCATTCCACCTCACCACCTCACCACCGAGAGCACAAGGCACAACAACCAACCAACACGCCCATCTGCTGCAGGGCCATCTGCAGCGCAGCTTAGTGAAGCGTGCCATCTGTGCGCCTGCCACGAGGAAGCGCTCTTCGACTTTCGGCCCCAAGAGGACGAAGGACCAGAAGGATTCCTGCGACGCCGCGGTAGTTCATGGCCGTCGAGTCGGGTCGATGGACAGGAAGCGATTCCTGGCCATTTAGGGTTGCGACGGGTAGTTCCGGTAGTTCATGGCCATTTAGGGTCATGCTGCCATGCTTGGTATCCTGCCGGAGGTGGTGACTCTTATCCAGGTGTGGCCGCCATCCATTCATGCTGACAGATCCAAGAACTCCGAAATCACGTACAGAAAGCATCAACATGGGGCGAATCGGCGATCGCAACAGTTCAACAAAAAGAGTGCCCTCCGGATGTCCACGAGGGTCTTCGTGGCGGGTCGTCGTCGGCACGTCTGTTTCTTTCGCCGTGTCCGGCTGTGTTGAACCTGCGGACGGTGATGGGACTGCTGAATCGGACCAAAAAAAGGGACAGAAGCTGAATCGGATGTGACGAGCTTGGAATGTGGCGAGCACAAGCTCACACTATGAACCAATGGATAAAGGATGATAAAGTTACTGTATATATAAAGGTAGGACCCACCACCACCATTCACAACATTACGCAAAGTGTGACCAGTCACTCGCATCATTATAGCTCAGCATAGCTCACATGGCACCACTCAGCCACAACATGACCGAAAGGAACCCGAGCGAACGACAGACGTCCTTGGTCTGACTACTTTGCGGGCAAAACTCAAAGCTCATCTCAAACCTCGTGCGACCAAGGTCGCTGGGCCGTGCAAATGAGCGTTGACAAGCAGCTTCTGGGGGGAACTTGTCCAAGCAGTGACAACCAAAGGATTTAAGGAATGCATTAGAATTGCTTGGATGTCCTAATGTAGGCTATGCACTCACTCACTTGCAAGTCTGGAGGCGCTTCTACACCATCCTTGAAAAGCCTTCCTATGGGGGTGGTTATTAATCAAGAGTCTACATTATTGTGGTCATCAAGAACCATGGGATGTGTTGAATCTCCACATGTTTGACATGGCCACAACGCGCTTTATGCGCCCCGTCCTCTCCTTCATTATGAGGGCCATCCTCGCAGGTTTCACCTCTCCTCTGAGGCCGCAGCTTCTTGTTGGGCAGGATGGTGCCCCGCTTCGTTAGGCACTTGAAGCACTCGTCGTCGCCTCGAACGAGGGGACAGCAACTGAGACGACCATTTGTAGACATGCGCAAGACAAGTTTCAATGTTGTTGCAATTGATGTGGAAAACAACAACACTCAAACTCTGTACCCCCAATATCATCCAATATCTTAGTCTACCTTGAGCTACTGAGAGCCCAGGTTGGACCATTTCATTGGCATGTTGATTCTTAAACCTATATGTTCGGATGCTCAGGGTGCGGCAAACTATATAAATGCGCACAACAACGTCCGAAATGCGGTGAGAAGGGGTTCACAGCAGCGGTTCACTGCCAGCTCGCTGCAGCGGTTCACGGGTTCAAGACATTGAGTGGCTGGAGCAGTGGCGACTGAGCAGATGCTTCAACTATGGTTTTTCTCCACCAGTTATAAACGATAACATGTGATTATATACAACTCGTTCAGCTCATCTATCACCCGGTGGACATGGTGAACTGCTTGGGACAAATTACTGTGGTTTGATGGCACTTGACTCTCTATCGGAATCCAAACTACATAATGGTAAGTCATTGGACCCTGCAAATGACATCTCCAACCACCCTCAGGCCCTCCAGGGTGTGGATCCATACAAACATCAACCGACTCCATCTCGGTCCATGTCGGTCCACCTCGAAACATGTCTTGGGGGAATCACCCTCATCAACCCGAGACTCCTTAGCCATTGGGGACCCGCACTGGCATCGGCGCCGAACATGGGCACCTCGGACGGGGAAGGCTTCGGTGGTCGACCCGTCGACCCGGCGACCGGACCGGTGAGGCCAAGGCGGTGGTTTCGTCGACTGGTTCGAACTCACTGGGTGGAACTCACTTGCTAGCACTTAAGCTGTCCTAGACCCCATCTGTGGCATCCAGCTTGGAAAGGTGGGAAACTCATGAACAGGTTTTGCAGTTCTGAAGTCCTGAAGTACAAACAAAAGTCAAAGTTTAAGACAAAAACAAACATTTCAACCCAGATTCAACAAAGACCCGCTTTTCCCAATCCTGCTCTGTTCCAACCTGTCAGCAGTCCCCCACGCGGTTTCTGTTTGTTTTATCTTGCCAGTCAGTGTCATCTGTGTCCCCCGCCTCGGGTTGCCAAATGAAATCCAAAGGTTCGGCCGTGGGATTCATCACCTCCGCCGCGCGGCCCCCGCGCGGCCGCGCGCCGGGCCACGGTGGATGAGGCGATGGAGCGCGCGGCCGCGCGCCGGGCCACGGTGGATGAGGCGATGGAGTTGGTCCAATTGGTTTGGTCGCGGCAGAGGTTGATGAATGTTTGTTGAGTGGATATAAACTCTAAACTGGTGATCTCCTTGCTACAGCGGTATGAAAAAAACAGGCTCATGGCCTCCAACCTCCAGCATCATCCTCTCCCAAAGGTGTTTCTTATTCTATCCGTTCTTCATGTTTCCCATCTTCTGCCCGGCCTCCAACCTCCCCTTAACCTCCAGCCCGGTGCAGAGCACCCGAATCCCCAGCGAACGGACT